CCCCAAAACCCCAAAACCCCAAAACCCCAAAACCCCGAATGTCTATAAATTTATTGAAAATGAGTTGAATTATTGCTACTGCGGGTTATGACCAGTGCATAAAATTCTGGGATCTAAACAACTGCACTAGATCAATTCCTTTCACAGACTCAGCTGTTAACAAAATAATTGTTTCGCCTGATAAGGATTACCTTGGAGTAGCTGCTCATACACAGTTGCATTTGTATAAAATCGAAGGATTCTCACAGAAGCCTGATAAGACCTATCTTGATAATAAAACAAATATCACCGACCTTGGATTTGAGAAGGACTGCAAGTGGCTCTTCACAAGCTCTGAGGATGGCATCCTACAGATCTTTGACTATAGGGCTGAAGGTTTCCAGATGAAATATGAGAATTCCTGATGTATCAATTCTGCAATATTGCAACCTCTCCAAAGCGAGATCTACTTTGGAGATGACAAGGGCACTATTGGCATTTGGGACCTTGTCAAGAACGAGCCTAGGATCCTGCAAGAAGATCCTGAACAAGTGGCTATTCGATCAATCGATATCACAGTTGAAGGTTCCAAACTTTGAGCAGCAAACTCTGAGGGAATGGTGTTCGTGAGAAATCTTAATGATAAGGGAGAATATGTACTCATTGAGGATATAGAAGCCCACATCGATAGTTATATTTTGAAATGCAAGTTTAGCAGATGAGGACAATTTATAGCAACCTGTAGCAGCGATCGGACACTTAAGATATGGGAATGCGACGATGAGAACTCTTATGAGGAAATCCAAGAGCTAACAGGTCACACTGGATGGGTATGGGATTGTGCATTTACTGTAAACTCAGATTACTTAGTTTCCGTTTCCTCAGATGCTATACTAAAAATCTGGGAAGTAGAATCAGGCGATCTCAGAAGGGTACTCAAAGGTCATGCAAAAGGAATAACCACACTTGCTTTCTCTGATTACTAAAACTTCCCTAATTTTCAATATTTCTGTTGTAAATTGGGGTTTTGGGGTTTTGGGGTTTTGGGGTTTTGGGGTTTTGGGGTTTTGGGGTTTTGGGGTTTTGGGG